TACCTTGGTAGACTTGGCAGAACTGTACAATTATAAGAGAAATGCTAATTACAATGTTCTGACCTGACTGTAGCCCAGGGACATACACATTTCAGTTTGCTACAGTCTACCCTTACCCAAAATTAAAAGCACAGGTTCGTGTCAATGTAACTGTACTACAACCACGACTACTTTTACTATTACTAACACAGCACGTGATTGGTTTTACCACTCAGACATGTTGGCAATGACAGAAACCTGGGTCATTGTAATGACAACTTTACAGGAACTGACTACACAATTAACAGCCTGACTTTTGCCAAGAATTCAGTCACTACACAATTATATTAATTATAATAATTACTTAATTATATAAAAACATTCAGTGTATTAATATTCATGTATAGCCTATCTGTATAGCCAAAAAGAAAACATTACTCAATTTTGGATCAAGACGTTATCTCACCTATTCAACTTTACAAAGTCAAATAATATTTAACGTATTAACTATTTTATTTGATGTTTGTTAGTATGTGAGAAGAGGACTATTTTTTACATTACTAGGTTGTATTAGGTCTGATACCTGAACATACTGCTTAATAAACTCTCTGATTCTTCAACTGCCCGTATAATATACCTTTCATTGTACTACTGTACAATTTGCATCACAGATCATAATTTGAATACATGCAGGTGTCACACACGAAAGAGTGAGAGATGTTCTGAAATGAAAATTCTTGATACCAACAACATATTGTTTACAAAAATAGTTTATGCCTAAAGGCCCAAACACACCAGTGGTGAACACTGTGTGTCTAAAAATATGCACCCATTATTATATGTAAAATTCCACGCCAGAGGCAGCTAGGCACGTGTGGGCACTCCTGGACACACCGCCCCGTTGCACTTCACGCCACTGTCCTATTATAAATAATACTATAATAAAGTTTAATTAGTTGGTGTCCACGCATGATCTTAAGCTAATGCATAGTTGGAGGAAGTGCAGATCTTTCAGTTAAAGGAATAATAACTTCGCATGGTCGTCTGTTTGCATGGTCGCGGGCAGCTGGGGCTCAGAGGTAGAGCGGGTCATCCACCAATCGAAAGATCAGCGGTTCGATCCCGGGCTCCTCCAGGCTGCATGTTGAAGTATCCTTGAGCAACATACTGAACCCCAAATTGCTCCCGATGGCTGTTCCATCGGTGTGTGAGTGTGTTGAAACTGACTAGCAGGTGGCACCTTGTATGGTAGCCTTGGCCACCAGTGTATGAATGTGTGTGTGAATGGGTGAATGTGACTCGTAGTGTAAAAAAAAAGTGCTTTGAGTGGTCACTAGATGACTAGAAAGGCGCTATACAAATGCAGGTCCATCCAGGTCCATGTTGCCGAGCTGCAGCGTGAAGCATCCAGCGTGTGCTTGGGGCAGCACTCATCATATAACGTGCCGCGGCAGCATGTTTTCATCTTAAGTTTGTCCATTTGGGTATGTTTCTATGACAACACTAAATTGACAATGTAACTTTTAAAAATGTGATTTTCAGCTAATTTGCTAATTTGGTGGACTACATATTTTAGAGCAAGTTAATGCAGCTGTTGTCATTAAAGGTAAGATATTACTCATTGGTATGCTGACCTAATAACAATACATGGCCGTTTGAAACGGTTGCAGCAATCACATCCCCCCTCACATATTGTACTTAATTTGCAGTGGGGGTGTTTCCTTCACTTAGAATGTGCCTAGCCATTACTGATCATCCAGCCAAATTTGAATGATTAAAAAAAATGTATATAATGTAAGTATATTATAGTTGGTTTTAAAAACAGGAAAAAAATAAGCAGTATTCTCTGCTCTGTAACACTGGGGGTAGGACCATTGAGGGAGCTGAAATGGAGATCGACCCACAGACTCATTAGCATTACGTCAATTAGAGGTTCTGAATGTCAGTTTCGATTAATTTTCAATTCATTTCCCAGCCATAAACACCCATGATTTCAGGCCAACACAGAAAACCAGAAATCTCAGATTTGACTTTACCAGCACTTTAAGCCAGTGAAGATTCATCTGTGTGCTTTTATAGTAATTTTCTGCCACATTCTCAATGTGTACATTTGCAGGGAGAAATGCATAAACTAATATAGTCAAAAAAAATTGTAATAGCATATTTCTTCGATAAAATATCAAATTTCAAACATTTTCTCCCTTGATCACACTTCCTTACAATGTGCACCCGTAATTGAATAATTGCCACTTTCCATTATAACAGATTGACAGTTGAGAGTTGCCCGTACTTGCCTTCTCAATAGATAGGGTGGGTAAATGCTCACAAGAAACTGCAGAAAACAATGGCCATATTGAAGCAAACACAAGTGCTGCCACTGAAAAACCAGTTCTTGGCATTGTGTCACCAGCCTCATGACTGGTTTCATATTCCCAACTTTGTGCATGCACATATTCACAAACAATCTTGCGTTGTCTGAAAGACATTTGCACTGCTGGAGGTCCGTGTCGGGAGATCATTAAAGGGATGAGAATGGCAAGTGCAAGTGTTCTGCAGTCACATCTCTGGATCAGACCAGATCAGGTCCATCTGTCCACTCAAATATCTGAAGATTCATAAAGTGTAAAAGCCTAAAACTTTCAGTATTATGTGTAATATTTTAAATTTCATCACAAAGACGGTGAACTACTGTTACTGCTATTATCAGATAAGAGAAACATCCAGGAAGACACCGCAATAGCTTTTGTTTCCTTGTCTTCCTCATGTCAATCGTGTAGTTTACGAGCATTGTGAGCCCTCAAGGAAGTATTACATTCAGAAACTAAACTTAAGCAGAGACAAAAAGGGTTAAATGTGCAATGACATGGCAGAATCAATGTGCGGCTTCCGTAATACACACCCTTAAAATCACATTGACAGCTCCACCCTTTAGAAACACTGCCCATGATGTCAGAGATATTTTTTTTTGGGGCAGTGACATCTTTGGTAGTTTAAATAGTGACACACACAGTACAGGTGTCACAACTTAACCTGCGATCCAGCAAGGAACATCAGGGGTGCTAGCGGTCCAGCTGTAAGCCTCATCTGAGACTAAAACTACACAAGATCTTCATAGCAAGGAACTGCGCATCTTTTTGCTTCTCAACCCAATTTCACCCATCACTGGAAGTGAAGACAATATCTACAGGTAGGCTTGAACAATGTGTATGCAGGGTATTGATATCTATTGGAGGAATACGATATGGTACATGTAAGCTTTTTTTTTTTTCCAAATCCCGCTGAAGTTTCTTTTGCAATTTTAAAGTAAAAAAGTATGTAAAATGTAAATAGTTAAATGAAATCTTAAGATTGATTACTAAGAGTGATCAATACTTCTGATAATTAAAAACATTATCAGTAACTGATAATTATTATGAGCATTTAGTAATATTAAGTTAAAAATGTTATGTGAAATCTAATCTTATTTAAATTTGATGTCTTCAATTGAACTGTTTTAAGGTAACAGACTTCACAAAAACCACAAGAAGTTAAATTACATGATGCTCTGTGTTAATGCCACTTCACATTTAATTTACATCAACACTTTTATTGCAACTAGCTATCACCTTAATCATCATCATCATGGTGCAGAATGTTTTATAATTAGATTTTGCTTTTCATATGGTGCACTATGCTACACCTCAAAGCAAATTTATTTAAGGATACCATTACATATAATGTATGAGGATACATTATACATCATTAAATATGCTTCTTTTTTAGCGACATCTGCTGTACTTGTTCAGACCCCCTGACAAAGGCTTGATGCTGAAAGGCATTGCATGAGGGTCTTACATGGCCATGCCACAATAATAAAGCCACTGAAATTGTTCATAAAGAAAGTGCCTTGTAGTTTTCCTGGGATTTAAAAAAAAAAGAAAGTTGTTTATTGTTGTATTCGTTGTGAAAAATCGCAATACCTGACACAATGAAAAATGCCTCTCTCCTCTGGACTTACCTATCTGGCTGTCACCACTCTCTCCCTGTTTTTCATTTGGCACTGCATCTGCATGAAGGGGCGGAGCTGGCCTCCCTCTCTGTCATTAACATCCTCCTCCTCTTCATCATCATCCACATGATTATTACTGTGTGACCTGTCGAACGTGAGCTATCTGAGTTATGAAAAGATACAGTGCGACCTCTTCCACCGTCTTGTCGCGGCTGTGTCGTGTGAGGTTGTATTTATTTTTAGACGTGCGACAATTTTGACTAGAAAAAAAGGACAGGCTCAGTGTGAAAAGGCCTTTACCAATAGAGGGTTGTAGATTTTGTTTATTGGGTATTATGTTGAGAAAAAATTTTTGCATTTCATTTTTTCCACTGAGCTCACCTGATAAAATCTCTGTTACAACACGACTAACTGTAAACATAGTGTCCCATTATGTCATTTAACTGAATAATTTCACCCACCCTACTCTAGGCATGGACAACAGGCTGATCCTCACCATCCTATTTGTGACCTGGCTGTCTGTGGGCACCTATGGTCAAACTACTGCGGCACCAACCACAGCTGCACCAACTACTGCGGCACCAACCACAGCTGCACCAACTACTGCAGCACCAACCACAGCTGCACCAACTACTGCTGCACCAACCACAGCTGCACCAACAACAGCTGCACCAACAACAGCAGCGCCAACCACAGCTGCACCAACTACTGCTGCACCAACCACAGCAGCGCCAACCACAGCTGCACCAACAACAGCTGCACCAACCACAGCAGCGCCAACCACAGCTGCACCAACAACAGCTGCACCAACCACAGCAGCGCCAACCACAGCTGCACCAACAACAGCTGCACCAACTACCGCAGCACCAACAACAGCTGCACCAACTACCGCAGCACCAACAACAGCTGCACCAACTACTGCAGCACCAACTACAGCAGCAGCAATGACTACTACAGCAGCAGCGACTACTACAGCAGCAGCAGCAACTACTACAGCAGCAGCAGCGACTACTACAGCAGCAGCAGCAACTACCGCAGCAGCAATGACTACTACAGCAGCAGCAGCAACTACCGCAGCAGGAACTACCGCAGCAGCAATGACTACTACAGCAGCAGCAGCAACTACCGCAGCAGGAACTACCGCAGCAGCAATGACTACTACAGCAGCAGCAGCAACTACCGCAGCAGGAACTACCGCAGCAGCAATGACTACTACAGCAGCAGCAGCAACTACTGCAGCAGGAACTACTGCAGCAGGAACTACTGCAGCAGGAACTACTGCAGCAGGAACTACAGCAGCAGCCCCACTGATGCCCAACACCACAGTGGAAGCTCTTGGGGTGAGTGATGCAAAAAAAAAAAACAACAAAAAAAAAAACAAAAACAAGAACATAGTGGAACAGATTATGGTGTCGAACACCATCAAAGTGCACAATGTCCAGCCAACTGAAAGTTTCTCCTCTCCTTTGCAGACACCTCTTTCTAGGACAGGATGTGGGACCCAACAGCTCTGTGCATCCGAGCCTTCCACTTGTGATCCTTCCTCAACAAACTGTTTCTTTCTTGCCGCCAAGCAAACCAGTGGTCAAAACTTTGAGTTTGGGCTTGCAGGACAGTCAACCGGCTACGTGGCTGCCACCCTGTCAACTGATGCCACATTGGTAAGCTGAGTTAATATAATTCACACATTCACATACGAAAGTGCCAAAGCAAATCATATAGTTTGAAGTCATCTATGTAAAAGAGGGTCAATCTATCATTTCTGCTTTCACACCACAGGGGGGTAACGACACAACCTACGTCTGTGCAAACAACAACGGCACCGTTAAATTCTTTGGTGCGTTCCTCGACAATGGCAGGCTGACTACGACAGAGGTAAGCTCTACTCAGAGTATTGGTGGATGTAGAACTGGGTGAGAATATGTTCTTTTGTTGATTTTTTTCCACACATGAATAAGAAAGTACAAATTACACTTCATAGCAGCAGCATGGCACACTCATAACTGGCCAGCCATCTAACATTGCACTACAATGCATTACATTGTGTAAAGAACTGACATGGACAGTAGTAGACACAGCTAATTTTTTATTTTCTACACATATAATACTGAACAGATTCAAAATCTAGAAGCACAATATGCCTCAGAGAGCATTTCTGAACCTGCAACTCCCTGTTAATTCAAAACCTCACCATCTGCATAATATAAAATATCTCAGCACAAAAAACTCATTGTCTTCTTGGTCATCTGATAAACTGTCTTTGCTCTGCAGTTGCCCGTGAACAATGTAAAGGGCAGCGTGAATGGAAGCACAATCCAGTGTACATTTGCAGCCACTGTACCAAACTCAACCGCCAGAACAACCAATTTCGTACTCGGAATCTCCACAGGACCTTTCGACGCCAGTAAGCGGACACATTCAAGATACACATTCACACAAACATTATATGCACTTTCAACACCCAATTAAGACCCACTGTTACAGAGACTGATTATCTGACCATGATCTTTTTGTCATTTGCTTGCACTCTCAGCTTCAAACACTCTGGGAAACACCACCACCAGATTACAGAGTACTGCTGTAAACCTGGCGAATGCTTCCGCCACCGTCACCAATACGCTTAACGCCAACCCCACTGCTGCCCCCAATACCACCAGCCACGCCATTACACTTCAGCAATCTCTGATGCAAGGTGAGTGTATGAGATAGGGTTGTTTTCCTTCAGAAAGCAATGTTGTCCAAAAACTGCATTTGAACAGTCCCTAATAAATCTTTTTCTTTTTTTCTGTCCTCCTATCCTCCCCTATAGCTCTGCTGATCACTGGAGCCATGCTGGGTCTGGTCATGCACTGAGGAAAACTGAAAGCCCCCATGACTCAAGAGTGACTCCCTATTGATACACACATGCAACTGAAAACATACATCTCACAGGAGGTTTATTATACACAGTGCATCCCAAATTTTTAGGGTCATGCTTCAATTTGTATCAACTTACCGCAGGTGAATGTAGGAGTGGTGGAGGGTGGTCACTCTTCTACAGCCTTCTGACTGCTTTCACGTCCGTGAAGGCTCTAAAAAAAATTAATTTAGAGGAGTTTTTAATTTAATGTGTATTCTAATTTGTTTGTTGTTTTTTTGTAACCATAGGACTGCTGGATTTCTGTCCTATAAGATACTTAATTGCAGGCTGATACACTAACTCTCTGCCCCAGGTGAAAATCAATCTTTGAATGGTTAGAATGGGGTACAAATGAGAGGCAATTTGGACCACCAAGAGTACTCAAACATCAAACCATAACCAAATGAACGACTATCTGACTTTGACCAGTAGATGTCATGCTTAATACAAATTTGGGGTTTGTCATTTGGTCATCTTTTAAGCCCACATTACCACTGTCAGGCAAAAATCTCATGACTTGGTGATTAAACAGAAGGAATCCACAACACTGGAGCCATCAAATTATTCAAGTGTTATCAGTATTGGTAAAACAGTACATAAAAGTCAAAACTTTTTGCTGACTAACTAATGAAGAACTTTATATTAACCATGACATTCTTTAGTTTACCCTCAGAAGAGGCAGACGAGCCCTAATGAAGGACCGCAATTGTTTTTGCTTTGTGTGTGTCACTACACATCTACATTACTATGATATGTTTCTGGTGACACACACAAGACAAGCAGAGGGCCAATGTTTTCCCCTCCCTTCTGCCACTCATAATGACACCAGCAAATGGAAAACATGTGTGTTTGCATTATATTATCGTTACAATGTTCTCTTTTGTGTGAATGTATATATTGATGATACAGCATACTTTTACAATGAAGCCTTGTGTGGCTGATATTTTCATTTGTGTATGTGCAAGTACACATGCAAATGAGCAATTGCTCATAACGAATGCTACTGTATAAATGATACCTAATATTGGTGAAACAGATTTTGCACTTTGCGTTATGTAACAATTGAGTTTTTACTGTGTATTTTTGAAATAAATATTTTACCAAACTGATTTTCTTAGTGGCATTAATTAACTGTGAGATATCACTGACAGATGGAAAACCCTGGAGTAGACTGTGTCACCATCAAGGAGATGCACACAGCAATATTTCACACTGGAGGGAAAATATGATTAAAATCAAGGTCTGTTTAAGTGTTATTCAATTGCCACAGAGTATCACATCAAAAACCTCTTGTGCTCAAATATTACGCGACAAAATCAGCATTAAAACATTACAAAATAGATTAATAGCTAATTTAAAAGTGGTAACAGAGTAAAACGAATTGGATTGGGGCTCCATTTTTTAATAAGACCCTCAAAACATAGAGAGCTTGCCCGTTGACAGCCAGGTACAGCTAACGGTTCCTTCACCATAGCCTAGCAAACACTGGCTAATCAAAGAATGTAGCTAGCTTAATCAGTTAAGCTAATATAGCTAGCTCAGTCGCCAGGGCTTCTAACGGTTTAACAACACCAAGTAACCAGTGCGTAATTTGGGGGTGAAAAGACCTCTAATTTAGAGTAAAAGCGGGCAAAAAATAAAAATGTGTTTTAAGTTACACCGACCTCAAGGTTAAATATTTCTGCTAACGCTAGCTAGCCGTTGTAGCGTTAGCTAAGAGCTGCTTCGCCATTTCTAGATGTGCGAATTTTTATGTTATAAGTTACGGCTATTTCCTGATAGATAAATGCAAACTAAACAGGTCACCTGACAGCACTTACCGCTGTTATGATATTTTCGAGGTGTCTCAATGACTATTCAGTTGAAAGAAAAATAAAAAATATTCCATGGGCTGCACGGACCGAGTTTGTTCTTTTGCGCTGGATCTAAGATGGCCGCCGGAAGTGACATAGCATCTTGCTTGTCTCTCACATCGCATCAACAAAACGTCTACGTTTCTTTCCCAGTAACATTCTCATATTAATCCTTTTAAAACACATTAAAAATAGTACATGTGAAATATAAAATTATTTATTATGGTGTTATTTACACACATAGAATGTAGTAAAAATTATATAAGAGTGTCCTGCTGTACAACAAAAGGCAGTACCAGCAGAAAAAAGTCGGTTAGCAACTCATTTGTTTATTTTGATCAGTTAATTTTTGGATATCTTTTTCACACTGTGGTAATGACTTTGAAGGACACAGTGGATACTAACTGTCAAAATATATGTGTCTTTCCAATTACTCTTGGACAAAAAGATACTGTAAACATATTGTAGCATACCTCAAGCCAGTGTTTGAGACTGCATGTCAGATTTTAAGTCCAGAATGGATTTCCTAACAAGTTTGGGTGGTTCATGAAGCTAAACAAAGTAAATACTCAAGCTGGCAGTTAGACTGGTTCTTTAACGTCGTCAAATGCATCACTGACTTTACCAAAACAAACATGGATTAAAGTGGATTCACAGTTCTGATGTGCAGTAGGTAGCCTGACGTCACTTGACTCATGAAAGCATGAGTTTCCAGATTTGTCTGGTTTCCAGGTAAAGCAGTGATTGCCCTCAGGGCAGAACAGCATTTGCAAAGGCAGATTTTTACGACCTGTGCCACTCAAGAATCAAAATTCAGAAAACTTGAAAGGTCTGAGTAATACTTAGTGTCACTTTGTAAATGCTAAATAAAAACATGTGGGTCAGTTGGAGAAGAAATAATTGCTTTCAAGTGGGAAAAACATCATCAAAGTCGGTGAAAACGCAGAGGCAGGATTCGTTTGCAGTAAGCAGATGTCCATCTGGGTGTATTGTTCTTCATGCAAACATCACTGAAATTTACATGTTCTCATGTACCAGAATAAATTATCCAGTACAGTATGTGATTGGTGACGCTCAGAGGAAAACTACAAAGACAGTAAGTGTATGCACTAGTTGGAGTGTATTGTGGAGTCTCTAGAGCACAAACTTCTTGTGTTTATTTGAACTTAGGTGTATTTTCACTAAGAATGTTATAAATTTGACTCTGGGATTACCTCTAAAGCCATGAATGGAAGTCAGTACATCTGGATCCTCATTGGTCAGTCACATTACAATAAATATATTTATTTGATTTTTATTATGTTGATAGTTTTTAATTTAATGCTGTTATTTCTCTTAAAATTTGTAAACTGATTCAATGTAAATACTTTGAAAAGATAATTTCCAAGGTCAGATGACTAAAAGCTGCAATAAATGCTTCTTGTTGCTGTTGTTGATATTTTACTTTTCGCCACTTGGGGGCAGAGAAACATTTAAAAAATTAAAGTGACAGATACACAGTCACCCCCCCCCCCAAACCCCCCAGCTTTTAAAATTGCAATTGCTAGTGGGTTAGCATTTAGTCGCCACTTTCACACCCAGTAGACATGAAGAAACATTATCATTTAACTTGAAAAGTGCCGGCTGATCGCGGCCGTCTACACAAGTCTTGTAATTCCAGCAGACGCGCAGCAGAATCTCTCAAAAGCGTCACAGAAGCTAAAAAAAACACGTCTTGTCTGTGTTTATTGTTACTGAGCCGCAGTGCATTGAACAGAGTGGATTGATTTCTCCATCTGATGGGTATGCGAAGTATACAGATGATGTGATTATCAGAATGAATGTATTTTTGATAACTTAAATACAGCCACAACTCTGCATTCAGACTGCAGGCGAATCTGATTCAAATCTGATTCCTTCTGAAATCCGATTTTTGACTGCTGACTGTCCAAATCGGATTTGGCTCTGTTCAGACTGGGCCACATTATTGACCAATCTGACAGGTTGCTTTGGCAACAACCTCGTGGGAGCAGAGGAGTCATCTAGCGTGTATTGTGTGATGTCATATAAGGAGCTGTTCAGACTCAGACATATCTGTCCAAACGAGATTTGAAACTACCTCCCAAAGGTGGTTTCAATCTGGTTTGCAAAAATCGTATTTCATGTCATTTATGACTGTTCAGACTTCATAAGAGCCATCTGGTTCCAATCTAGATTGGCTAAAAATCGGATTTTGGCTGGCAGTCTGAACAAGGCCTTTGATCGATGTCGTTTATAACTTGACTTTTAATGGCATTAAGTTTGTCTGTTTGCTACAGCACAACAAAGAAGAATAAAACAACAATAAACAATTAAAACAAACAACAAAAAAACATTCCGTTTGATAGAAACACAATTATTAATAAGAAATGACAAAGTCAACAAAATCTGCAAGTCTACAAAATCAGGCAGGCAAAAAAAGACGTGACTGAAATGCTCTCAGTTTGGTATGACGTCTTGCGGAGGACAGAACAAGGTAGCAGGCAGATCAGTGGAGAACTGCAACCGTTGGAATTGTCCCTCCTGGCCCCCTTTCAGTCAAGATAGTGGCAAAGATAACAAAAAAAAATGGAGGTTTATTCATCAGGTATCGCACCTCACTTTAGTGGATCAAAACATGTTGGGTTTGGAATTAATCGGCAGATGCTCAAAATGAGACCAACTTTTTTATGGATGACATTTTTTAGTCATGACCAAGGCCAAAATGTGGCCTGTAATAGACGAGATAAGGCTTTTTGTTTTTAGCTTGGCAAATAAGAGGATTGAGGAGTCAGCAGTCAATGATGGTATTAAACTCAATACAATACAATAAAACAGGTTTTTCAACAACTGTGAATCACAACAACCACAAGATGTTCTTGAGCATACAGTCACATGAAATATTAGGCTGATTGGTCCAATAGCTTGTGAGATTAGCTGTAGACAGAAAGATACACACACTTACATACACACATGCACACACACCACCAAACACATGATCCCCTCCAGACACCTGGCGAAGATTATTAGAATACCGCATCAACTAGCTCAGTCAACTCTAGGTTTTTCTATCCAGCCACGAACGCGTTCATGTGAAAGAGTTAATTACAAGCGACATCATCAGAACCATGAATCGAGTACTCCACGTGGTATGGAGCAGGTTAGCTGTTCATCTGTTAACATGGTGATTTAGTCACCGTTTAAAAAGAGAACCAGTTTCATAGCAGTGAAACCCAGAGTTAACCCTTAAGTTGCCTCGCTAACTCCAAATCCTGCTTCGTGGTACAGGCCTCAGGTGTTATGATCCTTTTGTCATAATTTGCTGACATCTTATTTGAATATCAGTGTTCCACTGGCATGTCAGCAGTGATGTTGATGCTCATCAACAGCTAAATTAGGGCACTTCCTCTTTCTATTCAAAGTCATTATAATTAACGTCTGCTGTATGAAAATGAGAGAAAAGCAAGCATTTTTTACTAACATCCGATCCCTTGACAGGCATTGCCCTCATGCTGACATCTGGAGCATGTGCAGGTAAACTGTTTTTTTCCCCTCAATACATTCTGTTGATTTTTTGTCTAATAATTATTTTGTCTGACAATAAGGTCATCTTCTTCAGAATGTGGCACTGAATAAAAAAGCCATCCAGTCTTCAGTAGGCTTCGGTGATGCTGCCAGGGCAGTTGATGGCAACAAAGACCCAAGATTAACAAGCAAAACCTGTATCCACACCAAAGAAGAATCTGATCCCTGGTGGAGAGTAGACTTACAGAATGTGTACAAAATTGCTGCTGTAACAATAACCAACAGAAAAGAACACAGTCACAGGCTGAATGGTGCCGAAATCTGGATTAAAAACTCAATAGAGACCAATGACACCAAAAGCATCAGGTGAAAACAGCTTGTTTCAGACATATCTCAGTGTGGGATGAAAATGTATTCTTATTACTTCCTCCTCTTTCCTCCACTTCACCCAGATGTGCAGTCATCTCTCACATCCCAAGCGAACAAACAGTCTACTTTCCATGCAGCGCTGCAGAGGGACGCTACGTCATGGTGCTTGTCCGAGGAAGCAACAAGGTTTTGAGTCTTTGCGAAGTTGAGGTGTTCCGTGAAAACTATGGTACTGATACATAGATATAATATAGATAAGTCCAGTATTGCTGTTTTTATGCCAATTTTCTGGCCAGTGATTTAGTAGTCCTGAACCAGGCTACCAGAGCTACTGTCCAGCTCTGACTCTCCTGAATGATCAGAAA